TCTCTCTCTCTCTCTCTCTCTCTCTCTCTCTCTCCACCCCCGATACCGACAGTTCGTCGCCGGGTATCAACGCAGAGTTGTCACCCTGCTTGGTTCGAGCATGCAAGCCAGGTTCGCCCATGCGCCACAGTCCGTCACAGCCCTGCACGTCAACCCCGCATACCCAACACCAGCTCGTCGGATCGCCCAACTCTCGCACTCACTTACCTTCCAAACTTGCTTGTTAGCCGACCCTCATTGATCGCGCTAACCTCAAAATTCTTAGAGAGCAAACTAATCGCGCTTGTGAAATTTATAGCATGCATGCTTGCACGGAAGGTACAGGATTAAGCCCAAGTGGACAAGAGGAGAAGAGAGTAAGTGCCTACGTCTGCATGGCCAGGCCGCGGTGTGGGGGTCGTAGCCGCACTCCACGCACCGATCCGGTCATGTAGGCACTCAGGCCAATTAGAACGGAGCATCAAGCATGCAAGACAAAGAAGAAGAAGGTGGGCAAATACAAGGAAATCAAGAAAGAAGAAAGATACAGTTACAATCGCGCCCGCTAAAAGCGACAGTTGCACAAGATTAAGGGCGCGATCCAGTCAGGGCCCAATTCCCAGCGTAGCAAGATGCGCGCAATCGTGGCGCAACAAAATTCATAGTACCTAAATTCCTAGTCTAAGTCCTAATTGCAAAAGAAAATTCCGAATAGGCAAAAGAAAAACAATTTCGCGAACCCGTGGGGGCTCGACATCAGTTGAAAATTAAAAAACGATATTCCTGCGCGATGATCGCGCCAAAATTCCCAGTGCTCATAGCAGAACAAGAAAAAAAAAAACTATGGTACAGTTATTTCTCGCGCTCGCCAAGGCACGGTTACCCAACCGTTAGCACGGGATTTTTCCGACATTGATCCGACAACTTCTAGCAGAAATCAAAAAGAAACGAGGGCATCCATGCAACTAGCCTGCCCGACCCATCTTCCCACAACTCATCCATTCGACCGGTCGTATTTCCCTAAGCAGCTTCGTGCAAAAAGTCGTGCGATTACAGAAAATAGTTCGTCACAGGGGTTGGTAGGCCTCCAATGAGCAGTGACCCTCCTCAATTTTATGAATTTTGTATATGACTTGAGGCCGGGTCTGGTCTGCAAACCTGGTCACCCAGCCGTTTTGTTGGACTGTGGGGCCTGCTTTAAGAGCAAGGCGCCAGGATAGTGGGATGGCCTCCCTTAACTGGCAGGCATCGGATTCCACAGACTTAGCATGTTTTAGCTGCGTTGTAGCTGATCGTTGGTGACCCAGTCCGCATTTATCGGGTCCCATAGGTCCACGACTGTGAAGACCCCTTTCCTTG